GACACTAGAGAGAATGCAGCTTTAAGACATGAAGCTTTGGCTTCACTTTTCAGAACCGAAGGTTGCCGCCTGTATCTACGTAGGGAGCGGGTTTTCTTCATGGAGTCGCCATGTTTTTACAGACTAGAAAGCATCTTTTAATGTTATTACGTTCCCTGAAAGCCACCGTAGTTCTGTGTAGTAGATTGCAAAACCGTGGTACTGTTTGACCTAAAGAAGTGTTCTCATGGTGAGGATGTTACTCTGCTGTTACAGTCATCAGAAAGGGAGGAGTGAGAGAAGGGGCATTCAGTTGGTTGCAATCTGCAACCTCACCACTAGGTGTCACTAAATCCTACATACTGTCCCTTTAAGGAAGTTAAAGAGACAATTCTTCTTCTTGTTTCAGGGCGACCATCATGTCTCTGGAGGACTTTGAGCAGAAGATGAACCAGGTCATAGAGAGGAACGCCTTCCTGGAGAGCGAGCTGGACGAGAAGGAGAACCTGTTGGAGTCCGTCCAGAGGCTGAAGGACGAGGCCAGAGGTGCAGAGCCCTCCTGTTGGATAAAAGTAGTTTTTAAAAAAAACGTCAGGTTTGAACTGGCTGTGTGTGTGTGTGTGTCAGACCTGAGACAGGAGCTCGCGGTGCAGCAGAAGCAGCAGGTTCAGGACAGGAAGCCGTCCCTCAGCAGTGCCATCAAAGACCCTTCCTCCTCCTCCTCCTCCTCCTCCTCCTCCGCCGGTTTGCCCACCCCCCCCCTCACGCCGCCAGACAAACAGACGGAGGACAAAACCACGTCTCCGTCCTCTCACCCGCCCGTCGTCCCCTCCTCTGCTGCCACGCCGCCGTCCAGACCTCCAGCCTCAGCAGAGTCCCTCAGCTCCGTCAGCAGAGGTTGTACATGTTATGTTATTATTTACATGAATGTTTACACCACTGGAAGCTTCTCTGCATTCATTCGGGGTGCGTTTGTTTCGTCAGCAGGTGAAAGCCTCTCGGGGAATCCTCTCACCATGTCGGCGAGACTCTCGGCTCTGAACATCGTGGGAGAGCTGCTGAGAAAAGTCGGGGTGAGAAGAAGAAGAACGCTTGTGACTCTTGACCCAGTCCTTATAATCAGCTGCTGACTCTCACCATGTGACGCTGCAGAGAGCTTCTGGTTCTACTCTCAAATGCACACAAACTACTTCTTTTCTCTGGAGACTTAATGGATTATGTTGAACCTACATAACATACAAACCAGCATAAATTACAAGAATAAATTCATAAATAACATTTCCTACAGGTTGTTTTAGGAATGAGACGATTAAAAAAACACTCACAATGAGTTGATTGTGATTTTACATTATCGGGATAATCGTGAAAATGAAGTGATTTGAAAAAGCCGTCTAGGTTGCGATGACGGTAGAGAAGTAAACAAGTTATCATTAAAAATACAGTCTGGAGCTTCATAAACCAGCTGATATAACTAAACAACCTTATCGGCAGATGTGGCTCATCGGTGGCAAAATAAAACATGACAAAACATACCATAACCCATCGACCCTAAACATCTGGATCACAGAGTTTTATGACGCTGAACATTCACGTTGTCTCCTGTACTGTTTGTAGAACCTGGAGTCCAAGCTGGCGTCGTGTCGCGAGTACGTCCACGAGCAGACGGCGAGCCGCAGAGGCCCCGCTGGAGGACAGGGGGCGCTGTCGGGCCAGAACAACCACACAGAGACTCACCCCACCAACGGGCTCTACAACAAAGGGTGAGAGGAAGGAGGCCGACAGCTGCAGAGCTCGTTACATCCAATCAAATCATGTTGAGTGATCTGTTGGTTCGTTAACCCTCTAAACCCCAAACCCACCGGCGGGATGGAAAAGCATGTTAAACCCAAAACTGCACCGTTTATCAGCCAGAAGCTGAAAAAAAACATCATTAGTGTCAGATTTGCATCTTTCCGACGGTCCTTGAACACGTTTGTTGAATGCTTACGGCAGAAAAAACATCCGAATCCAAGTTTAAAATATTTCATAAAAAACATTTTATTCTTCATGTTCTCATTATAAATGTCTCCACAAATAAAGCGTTCACTTTATCCAGATTGTGTAAAAACATTAAATTGTAAAACTATGAAGTCATGATTGATTCATCTGAGACCAACAGTCATGTGACAACAAACCAGACACTTTGACTGAACTACAGGAAGTGAACACAGAGGAGAGAGGAGAGGCTGGAAATATACATTACAGTTATTTAACAGACACTTTTATCCAAAGCGACTTACAATTCAGAGTCTATCACATTTCTACACCGTAGGCACAACTACAGGAGCAATTTTGGGGTTAAGTGTCTTGCTCAAGGACACATCGACACGCAACTAGCAGAGCCGGAGCCGGAGCCGGAGCCGGGGATTGAACCGCCGACCCTCTGATTGAAAGACGGCGCTGCCCACTTAGCCACAGTCGCCCCCCATAAAATGTTATATCGCTCAATATATAAAACACATGGAGCCTCCATTTTCTTTTTCCAACATTGGTAACACTTGTAGACACTTATTCAAATGTTGGATATATAGATTCTATTGTTTACCAACTTTTGTAAAATACATCATCAAAGAAAATCAACTGATTGATGTCACAACACAGTTCTGCACTAAAGACGTGTTCTAGTTCTCTGTACTTCTAGTCATCATGGTTCTGGTTCATAGAGGAGCAGAACTTTATATTACAGAGAAAAACAAAACCACAGAGATGAAAATGTGAAAGGAGCCAAAAAACACCCTCAAAACTGCTTTTAGGTTCAAAAGGTTAAAGGGTGAAATCGTCCACTTTTCTCCCGTACGTAGATGTACGTAGTTTACTCTCCACCACTAGAATGCACCATCCAGATATCATCTAATCAATATGGAGTCAATGGTTTGAAGGTTAAACATAATGTGTGACGTGTAAAGTTGCCCGGTTGTCTGTTGAAGGCTGGTGAAGAGGTTGGACTTCGGATCTGGACCCAAGCTGCTGCTGTGAAAGTAAAGGATCCTTAATCCTGCTCTGGGCTGCTCCCCCCCCTCCGGCCCAGACTCAACGGTCCTGTGCTGTTGCTCGTCGTACGGGTTGATCGGCAGCACGCGGACCGCTGGATGGGACACGGTTGCTATGGATATTTTGGGACGTCTGTTAAGCAGCTCATGTCTGCACAGGAAGACATCTTGTTTATTTGTCAGCAGGACTTCTTTTCGGCACTTCCTGGACTTCTTTGTTTTTGTCACGGGGCACGGTGAGGACTCAAACGCAGACAGTCAGTGACAGTGTAGTGAAAAAAGGTTTTAATGAACCAAAAACAAACAGGGAATCCAGGGACAAGACAAAAGACGAGGGGGGAAATCCAGCAGGAACAGGCAGAACAGGCAGACTGGAAACCCGGGAATAAGACGAGCAAACCGGGCGGGTAGGGAGGAAAACAAACAATGATCTGGCAGTGGGTGTGTGTGCGACAGGGGTTTAAATAGTGAAGAGGCAGAGTGAGCAGGTGAGAGTGAGTGTGACTGGCAGGTGCACTGAATGAACTGATGAGGTGAGTGTGACTGGCAGGTGCACTGAATGAACTGATGAGGTGAGTGTGACTGGCAGGTGCACTGAATGAACTGATGAGGTGAGTGAGGAGCTACAGAAAGAAACAAAGACACAGAACACACAGGGCAAAGCCTGATCGTGACAGTTTTGCTTTTTCTTTGTGTGTGACTGAACACAGAGTGAGTTTTAGAGACGGCGAGGTTTGTTATGAACGATAGTTAACAGGAAGCTGTTTTACTGCATGAAGGCGTTTCCTTCCCTGTACTTTGCCACATAAATGCACATTTTGTGACTCGATTCGTCTTGGTTTTACCGGACTTCATGCAAAACCGGATCGTTTCTACTCCAGTCCACATGGTGGTGATGTAATCCACCTAATAACTGCCCAAAAACCCAGAATAATAACTTGTGAATTTAAGCAGTTTAGTTCAGGTGGTAACCTCCGGTTCTTAAAGTGAAGCCAAAGCTGCATGTGTTAAAGCTGCATTCTCTCTAGTGTCCACCAGGGGGCGACTCCTCTGGTTGTATAGAAGTCTATGAGAAAATGACTCTACTTCTCTCTTGATTTATTACCTCAGTAAACATTGTAAACATGAGTTTATGGTCTCAATCTCTAGTTTCAAGTCTTCTTCAACACAGCATGATGTTCATTTAGTACATTATGGTCCATTTAGAGTCAAACAGACCTCTTAATAAGAATAGAAAACCATTCTGTCCGATATACTTTGACTCTACTTCTGTCTCTCCAGGAGTGAAAACGTGAGATATGAATACTTCAGTGAAGGCTACGTGTGTTTTATGTTAAAAAGGATGCGATAGGTTTGACTTGTAGTGTTTGCTGTTCCTCTTCTGTAGGTTGTGGTTCCGTGTCTCCGGTCTGTAGGACGGAGACGGAGTGACCGGACATTTAAAAAGTCAAAGACGTGGAAAACTATTTGAGGATTTGTGTGTTTTTGTTTCTGCCTTCAGAGTACTGACAATTTGTTCACCTTCAGTGCTGCTTATGTTTCTGAAAAAGCAATAAAACTTGAAATGTTGAAAAGAAAAGTCTTGATTTTATTTCTTTAGAAGGCAGAAGAAGTGAGACGACACAGACACACACACACACACACACACGTGAGGGTTTAGTAGCAGTTTAATAGCAGAGAGTCACAGCAGCCATCGTACAACTCACTTCACTTATAGTTAAATATGATGTGTGTCTGTGAGGTTTAAATCACACGGAATGAAATACAACAGTTTCTTGTTTTACATTCAGTTTCAGAGGAAAATAAAAGAACGAGTCTCATCGAGTGAAGCATCTCAAAGATATGATTTAAGTTTTGATTCTGTTCTGAAGGTTTTTATTTGGTTGAGAAAATATAGAATTTTCTGCATGTTTTAAATGATTTTTGCTCAATTTTTACAACCTAAATCAAAATTAAATATATTTTTTATATATTTATATTTCTTTCCGACATTTAAAATTTTCAGGACCGACGATACGAATTATTTTTTTACTGTGCAACAGATGGAATCATTTTCTAATCTTAATATTTAGTCTTTGAGCTGCAAACTAAGTTTTGTTAAACGAGCGGTCCACTCGACTCGAACACAACCGCAGAAACTAAGAAAACTTTATAATATATATAATAATGTAATTTAAATAAAACTAAATATATTAGATTTGCATAAATAAAATGTCTTAAACATTTAAAATAATGGTAACTTCTCAAAACCTATTTTGATTATTTTGTATGTTTCATCGTAAACTAAGAAGATAAAATCTATTTTCCTAAATGTCTCCTAACAATAAATAATGAGATTTATTTCCCATAAATAAAGTTGAACAGTTTGGAATCAGTGAGTGTAGAACAGTTGTTTATACCTGTTATACAGTATATGTGGAAGTCACATGATGTAATAAGAGCTCTCTGATTGAGTCATAATTAAACATAAAAAAGGGGATTTATGGACAGACCTGCTTGTTTCCTGTTCATTTAATTTTAGGTTCACTTCTACTAAAGTTCACTTTTTTTAACTCGCTCGTATTTGAACTCGACAAACAACAAGATGACTTCCTGAGCGGTGTTTTGTGTTTTAAATGAATGTTTGAAAAGGAAAGAATAAAAACAAAAAGACGAGGAGTTCATTACTGAATGAAGAAAGACGAGGGAGGAAGTTATGGATCAGAGGAAAGTTTGGTTTGTTAGCGACCAGTTTGACTTTTAGGAAATCTGGATTTTTTTTACAGAGTTCATGCGTCTAAAATAATGTTTTAAAATAATGTTTTAAAATGTAAAAATGTATAATCAGAATGACATGTTGGCGTTAGTGTTAGTTTTAACGTAAAATATTATTTATGGGACTTGTTTAGTTAATTACTTTGATAATTTGAACATAAATCAGTTGTTTTGTTAAAACGTCTTCACCTTACTGTTAAATAATTTAAATTAAAAGTGTGACAACATCTCTGGGCTCTGGTTCAGCCCACTCTACTCGTCAGGGGAGGAGGCGCGGGAGTCCAGAGGGGGAGACGGGGACCGAGACGGAGGCTCCTCCTCCTCCTGCAGCTCCACCGAGTTCTCCTTGATGGTGCTCCTCCGGCTGATGCTCCCTCCCAGACTCAAGCTCCTCATGCTGCCACCACCACCACCACCACCACCAACACCACCACCGCCAACGCTGCTGCTTCTGGGACTGGGGCTGGGGCTGCTGAACACCGCCTCCCCGCCGCCACGCCTGGGAACACCCGACACATCAGGAGGAAGATATAGAGAGGAGGAAGAGGAGGGTGAGAGGGAGGATAGTTGCAAAGCGAGATTTGTTTAAAGTTTCAAGCCCCTTAAATGTTGCAGCAGGTGTAAACTGAAGGAAGTTAAAAAGCCCGCTGAGGAAGAGGAAGAGGAGAACATTCCCAGGAGGCTTTTGAGGACAGTTTGCAGATCAGTAGTGTCTGAGGACACGAGAAGGAGGGAGAGGAAATTCAAATCACAAATCATCTCTTGCTTTCACATTTCTTTTCTTTGAAAACACGACATAAGTTTAACTCTGAACCCCAAAAAGCAGTTTTGGGACGTTTTTCTGCCGGAAAGATGAAAACCAGATGTTTTTACAGCTTCTGGCTGATAAACTGTTAAGTTTTAAAGAACACTAGTTTTTCCATCCCGCCATGCGTGTTTTGGGGTTCAGAGGGTCGGTTCTTCACAAAAGTGAAGCGAACATGGACGCAAATTTGCGCCAAAAGGTTCGTATGTGCAGAAAACCTCTTCATTTGTGCGCGTTGTAATATTTGAGTTTGACTGAGTCCTGATTGGTTGTTATCAGCAGTTTGTCCCCTCGGTACCTCAGTTTGCTCCTCAGTGAAGACATGTCTCTGCTCAGAGCATCGTTGGCCTCCGTCGCCTCGTCCAGCTCCCTCTGCAGCTTCCTGCGAGACGCGGCGACGCGCTGCGCCTCCTCCTCCGCCTCCTCCAGTTGGTGCTTCAGCTGCTTCACCCGCACGTTGCCCTTCTCCGCCTGCAGGGGAGCGCAGAGGAAACAAACGTTATGCAGCTGAAAGCGTCACGAACGACGGTGAAATGTCGCTTGTGTTCTTGGTGTTCCGTCCTCGTCACCTGGTCTTTGAACTGCTGTGCCTGCTTCCTCTCGTCCTCCATCTGGATGCTTAAGTCCTTCAGCTTCTTCTCCTTCTGACGCAGATTCTTAGCGTTGGACTGACGCTCTCTACACAACATCATGAACACAACATCATCCATCATAGTAGTTAATCATAATAATGACCAAAACAACCATAATACTACTACTATTATTAGTAGTGTTACTACAACAATACTAAACTTTATACAGCATGTTTTAGAAAAAAGTTCCAAAGTGCTTTACATAGAACCAGGATTAAAACATGTGAAGCACTTAATGACTAAGTGGGTAAAACAATAGAACAACTGGTAAGTTCAGAAAATGACGCTTATTACAATAATTAAAATCTCAGACGATATCTAGTCTCATGTCAGGATATCGAGTTCATATTGATTTTTTCGCCCGGCCCCATCTCTTTGGTTAAACGCAAGTCAGAATTCAGCTTTTGGAAACTCCGTTTCCCAGCATGCCCCAGTACCTGCTCTCGATCTCCAGCTGCTCCTCCACCTCCCTCAGCTTGGCCTCGAGGGCGGCGATGGAGGCCTTGAGTTTGGACCGGCCCTGACCCTCCACCTCCTGCAGTTTGGCCTTCAGATCTCGGTTCTGCCTCTCCAGCAGCTGCCGGGACCCCTCCCTGCTCTGAGAGGTGGAGCGCTCCGCCGCCAGCTCCGCACCCAGCTGATCCACCTACACAACAGAGGTCAGGACCTCCCAAAATACAAGAAACACTCTAGTCCCATCCGGTCTAGTCCAGACCAGAGAACCTACCAGCTGCTGGCTCTTCCTCAGCCGCTCGTTGAGGCTCTCCACGTTGGCCTGCTCCTCCTCCAGCTCCTCCTCCAGCTGGCTGATCTTCGTGTCCAGACGACGCTTCTCATCCGACAGCAGAGATCTGAACCGGAGGAGAAAAGAGAGCTAATATATCATATTATATCATGTTATTATATCATGTTATATCATACGATATTAGCTTTTACACTTACAAGAACACAGAGAAATAAATACATTAAATGAAATTGTACTAACTTTTATTTCTTACAATTTTTACCATCTGAGGAATTTAGCAACAGCAAAACAAATGGAAAAAGTAACTTAGAACACAGGAGAGAATATATACATACATGTATA